CTCCGCAATCAATCAAGGCACTACAGGTTGCCTTTCCGATTTGAATGCGGATATAGAGCAAAGGTGCGTCGGTTTCGGCGTACCTTTGGGTGGCGTGCTCGCGGTCGATTTTCGCAAGATAGGAGCGGAGATCGGCAACCGCTACCCCGTCGTCCGTCAACGGAGCTGGTACTGTAGTGTGCAAGTAGAAGCGTAGATTTGCCATCAAGGCGTTGCAATGCGGCCTCGGCAATGTTCCGGTCGAGGGTAGAGGTATCCAAGCGAAATCCTCTCTCGTGAGCGGGTCAAGCTCCTCAAGTCTTGACCACGCCGTCGAGTCCTCGGAAAACAGTGGCGAACTGACCGGATCACTTGCCGACGGTGTGCATACGCAATTTACATGCACGTGGCTAGGCTGGTCTAATGGTGGTACCAGTTGGGCGGCATAATCCTCGTACGTAGCACGAGAATCAACGACTAACGCATGTTCCCCGATAGTGACATCGATTGCTAGCAAGGCAACCGGGTCTGGCAGAGTGAGGAGAGACGTCGCCCCTCTCCTTGCGTAACTCAGTTTCCCGAGTTTGCTGGACGGGGTACGCGTGCCTTGCCCTTTTCGGGGCATTGTGCGGTCACATGGGTGACTCCGTTGCACCAAAGGCAGTATCCGTACTTCTGACGTAGGTCATAGACCTCCTTGGTGATCTTATATGCCGTCCATGGCTGCCCAGCTCCCGTCGCTGCCGTCTCTTGTGTCGCCTTGTTCTTTCGAACTCTCTTGGGACGCTTCGGCGGGAGCGCTGCGACAATTCCTCCATCACTCGAGGATGCTGCTGCAGCGAGGTGGTCGTCGGTTTCCTCAGAAATCACGGCATTGTTATGTCCCGGACGTTGATAGGCCTGCTTAGCCACATAGTGCGGCTGGGATTGTCTCTCGTTAGCRGCCTTGTCGTCCGTTTGGATGACCAAGTTCGCTCGATCCAGAATGCCCTGGAATGTGGTATAGTCGTACTCATTACCGAGTGCCGACCGCAATCCCGTGCATGATTGCGAGAAGAACTCGGATTGTTGATTTGGGAACGTCAAGTCGAAGCCTAGTGTGGTCACTATCTTTTGCCACTTCGTTGTCCAGTCTCGAGTTGGCATGTTCCCCTGAGAGCATGTGTACACCTCATTCATGGCCGCCTTCACGACGTTGCGGACCATGAACCGGGTGAACCATGGCTGCTCGAACTCCTTCCACGTGATGTGCGTGTGGAGTTCGGCGATGGTGCACTTGTGGGTGGCCGCCATGTGGTTCATCCATGCCTGCGCTCCTCCAATCAGTTGCAAATAGAGTGCCTTCAACATGTCGTTCGCCGGGACAGTGCGGCATGACGCTTCCGTGAGGAAACATTGCCACCATGTCAAAGCGTCCGACTTGTTGTAGTCATCAAACTTGCAGATGTCGAAGTGCGGCATCTTGAACGTCTTTGTAGCGGCGTCCGGTCTCGTCTGTAGCTTGGTGATGTCCGTCTTGATGGCGGCCACCGTGCTGCTGATCGTGTCCGGTCCGTTGAAAACACCTATGTCGYCGATGATGGWGACSACRYRATCGATGCGTTCGTTGATTTGCTTCGTCGCGTCCGTCGTGCAGCCTGGCGCTGCTGAGGCCTTGGCCTCAATGTCGTTGATGCGTGCGATGGTAGAGTTCATCAGCTGTTGCTGTTGCTGCTGCTGCATTGCTGCATCGCGGACGTCGGTCGTTACAACGGCCAGGTCTTGCTGGTACTGCTGTCTTTGCTGTCGTTCCGCGTGCAGGTGTGCCTGCAGTAGTTTGTTGTTCCACATTACTCCCCTCATTACGTTCAACATCACGGTAGCCAGGTTACTGCTCTCTGCCTCCGCCTGTGTCGGCTCCGCCTGCATTTCCGTAGGCACAAAGATCATGCCTTGGAGTACCGTTGTCCACTGATGCTCACTAGCAATCTGGGACTCCGTGCTGGCGGCGCAGCCTGCTGAGCCTCGGCGGCGGCTACGGCGTCTGTAAATGCCTGTAGCCGCCCACGATAGTCAGCCAAAGGCTCGCTGGCCTCTCGGACCGGGCATGCGGGAAGATCTCCGGTGGTGTCTTGTACTGTCAATGCCATACTTGATGCCGCTGGAGTCGTCCGTCTGCTGAATCTCTTGGGTCTTGGAGGTACCGCAGGGCGGGCACAAACTGCGATCCTGGCACTGCGCCGTGGCAGTGCCCCGGTGTCCTGTTCCATCGACATCAGTCTGAACTGATGCGGTACTTGAGAGGTGCCGGTGTTCACAGACTACAGGGGGGGTAGGTAGAGTGGGAACAGGGGTAGAACAATCAAGCAATATACATAAAATCCCCTGTCCCACTGATGGACTGTAGACACCTAATCAAACAGGAAAAAATAAATTTCCCGTAAACCCTTCAAAAAAAATTGTAATAAGGAATTACTAACGATTTAATCAATAAAATTAATTAATGATAATTAACGAAATAAATCCGAATGATAATCAGTAAAACAATGTTTGTAATAAGGATAGCCAATTAATGATAATCAGTAAAACAATGTTTGTAATAAAGATAACCAATTAATAAACGAATTTGAAAGGTATTATGATTAGGTCTCTTTGAGATCACTTTGAGTCCGGGAGTTCACCGTTACTGAGTGAACTACC